TAACCACTAGACCACCAGGGAGTTGTCTGGTTATTTGGCTAGCTTGTCCACTGGAATGACATGTATGACATGTGGCACATATGATGAATTATGTGTAGACACTTAAGGGTTCTCTATCTTACTTTCATGGCCTTCTTCCTGCCTTCAGGGGTTGGACAGTACAAGAAGAATTTAAAGTAATCTTACTCCTGCAATTAAATCCAGATCGTTATTGTCAATTGTAAACTCGGTTACATTATGTTGCAAAAGGTTCCAGTTTTAATGTTCGTGTCACATTTCTCTACATGTGTATGTGCATTAACATCTGGCTTATGTGTATCTAATGTGTCATGCATTTCATTAGGTGGTGCTTGCTGTGGAGGGCTCCACCATGAGCGGCAGCCTGCAGCGCCGGAAGAAGAGCAAGAGGAAGTGGAAGCGGCTGTGGTTCCTCCTCAAAGACAAGGTGCTCTACACCTTCACAGCCCGTGAGGTGAGGGGGCACAGAGTCTCCCACACCAGCCCCAAAACTGTCACACACACAGACACACACACTCATGACTCAGTCACAGAGCTATTTCCTCACAACCCTTCTCTGTCCTTTCTGTTTAACACTCACATTTCTACTGTTCAACCTTTCCTCCTGGGAACAACACTTGTGACTAATGAAGGGATTCTCTGTGCTCTCTCTGTTTCTTAGTATGCATCTGCTTTGTTCTTCTTGAAACATGAAATTATTTGCATATTGCCAGAGACAGCAAAACAGTTGTTTGTATGCCTGTGTTTGATGTCTTCACTCTGGTTTTTTTAGGATAAAGTGGCCTCAGAGAGTCTACCTCTGCAGGGCTTCACCGTCAAGCTGACTGAGAGGCCAGACGGAGAGGAAAGCAGCAACATGTTTCATCTTTACCACAAGAAAACCCTGTACTACACCTTCAGGGCTGATGATCAGGACACTGCTCGCAGGTCAGAACTGGAGCTCTTTATATAGAGAGATGTGGCTTTTATTTCTGGATTAGATCTGAAGCATGTACGAAAAGCACATTCCCTGACCGGGAATCGAACCCGGGCCGCGGCGG